CATAATGCCTCCGCGTCCAGCCTTTCCCGCAACAATCCTCTTGCGCCTATTGCGATGTCCGGTGCGATCATTCGTTCGAGCAGGTCAAGCACCTCGCGTCTCATCTCCTTGTCCTCTCGCAAAGAGGATAGATCGTTTCTCTCGGCGAGGAAAGGTATTTCCCCCCTCGCTTGTCTATCGAGTGCGTTGAACCCCTTCTTCCCGCTGGCGTTCGACGAAAGCGCAAAAAGCGCTTATCGCCGCGGATCGTAACTACCGCGGCTCGCTTCGCGGATGGGGCCTCTACGCTCGTCTCTTGAAGCGATTTCTGCCGAGTCATGGATGCACGTCGCGCGATGCACCGCGATGTAACGCGGTACCGCGCGGTCGTAGTGTGCGTGTTTCGGACTCCAATCCAGCTCCCCGTCTTGCGCATCCACGAGAGGAGATAGAGAGAAAGAGAGGCTCGAACTGCAGGTAACTACCGCTCTTCTGCTTTTACCTTGAAGAGGCCGACGGTAGGGGATGGGATGCATCTCCCGTAGGGATGCATGACGGGGACGGGACGCGCGGAGGTGTATATACGAGCAGGCAGGCAGGGAAGGTGGAGGACCGTTGCACTGACCGGGCTTTGAACCCGCTATGTAGTAAACAACAGGTACGTTGCACCCGTACCCGCAATTTGTAAGAGCCCGAGAGCATGATGAACATTCTCTCTCTCTCTCTATCTCTCTCTCTCTCTCTATCTCTATCTTTCTTTTCTTTGAGGAGTCGCCGTCCGAAAATAATGACGAAAACAACTTGGAATAACGGCCCACGAGACTCCTTCCCCGCCTTGTCTCCCGCCTCTTGAATTTCTCGCTTCCTGCTCGATTCGAGCAAATTGGGAATAGGTCCAGATTGACTGGTCGCAATTCCTGGATATAAGAATCGGGATCGGTATCGCGGAACGAGACGATGGATTTGATGTTTTCGAGTGGAAGTTCGCTGAGCTTGGACTGGGTCAAAATTCCGCTTGTTGGGCAAAAACAAAGACTCGTTTGCTGAATTAATCATTCAAAACTCGAAGTTTATCACAGACGCGTAAACATATTCATTGATATGCATAAGCGAACGAGACATTTATTATTTTGAATAAAAAAACTATCTTTTGGACAAATTGTCGTATTTCTCTGCAAGATATTTTTATCTGTTTTGGGACTTATCAATTTTGCTAGTCTATATTGTGTTCACAGTTATGTTCATCTATCAGGAAGCGAACTATCGGTGCCAAACGAGGCCAAACGGTATCTGCGTCTAGCGCGGCAACTTCCGGTTTGCAAGACTACCGAGTTTCGATACGGTTCTGTAGAATGATAATAATATAATGTATTCTAATTTGTTTTTCTTTTTAGTAAATGATTCTTCATGATAAAAGTACATTTCGCAATGTTAAATATAATTATTTTATTATATGTTATCTTTTTTTTAATTGGACGAGAGTCCTCTCTGAAAATGTACGAAACTAGTTCGTGCGAAAGGAATGATTACTTGCCAAACTAATCTGGAAACTCTGTCGGTCGTGTTTTATCGTACAACGCAGCGCTAGTCTCGGTGATAAAGATCCACAATTTGTAAAAAGTTAATTATAGTTACGAGAATTAATTCTCAAATTTCGATACATTCAACAATTAAACATTATTACTCGCAAAGTATTTTTAATCGACACAAGATTTTAATTATCCAAAATCAAGAGCTGCCAGTTTTACCGACATATTTAGTTCTTCCACTCACCACCGTTAGCGTGGATGTTACCAATTTTTTTCGAATGAAACCGTTGAACTAGTAAAAATTTCAATAAAAATAAAACATAAATACACGTCGCCAAGAGAAAAAAAGATTTAGAAAAGGGAACGTTTGTTAATTTGTAAAATCTGTTTTAAACGCGTCGTCGTCTTTGAAACGAAATATCGCTTTCTTTCTTCATTGTCAACTTGTTAAAAAAATACATTATCTATTTATGAGCTGTTATCAAACGTAATTAATCTACAGTATATCTAAATGCGTACCATCCTGCTTCTTTCACAAAATGCTACAAAATTACCAGTTTAAACAGCTTGCAAATCACAGGAAGATCCAAATTACCAGTCAAGGTTCTTTCGAGGACTCTCTAGACCTTAGCAACAGTCAGATCGGACAATTGTACTTACTTGCACTTAGATATTTCTCGCGGTGACATGATAATCACCTTAGAATTAATGGACAATTTTAGAACGGTTATCGCTACATCGCTCAAGTTTATTCCGCTATAATCCTTTTTAATCTTCTGCGCCGTATATCCTGCACAATAAACCGGAAGCCCCGTGCGTATTGCGTTTACCAAGAAGGCGGTCCACTTCGGTAACGAGCGCCTCTTAATATATGTCTGCATGCATGCGTGCAGTAGACTTTATATAACATCCTATATTTTTTTTCTCTATATTTTTATCGTGTGCGCAAAAGTCATTGGATATAATAATGACGAATCATCACCGTGGCGACAAGTAAAAAGAATCACTCCAACCAACCGCCCATTTATTTCCCATTATGGGAGATGCAGCCGAGTGCACGCTGCAATTTCCGCGCATTTTTGCGAGTGCCCACCACCGAATCGAACTTTACGCATCGCTTCCCGCAGTGAAGATTCGGTAACAGAAGTTTCCGGCAAAAATTAGGCATTCGCTAATCTTATATACATCTATATAAACTAATTTAATAAAATATAAAATTTATATAGATATTTTTTATGTAAATATTATTGGCATAATTTTACATTACCGCATTTTTATAATATCGATCGATAAATACTAAAAATTAAATGAACAAATAATATTGTTATTAAAAAATATTTCTGAAATTATTTATACAACAAATACAAATGTATCAAGTAAACATTTTCGGCGGCAATCCGAACAACTGTACTTTCATTGAGAGAAAGCAGGTTCACCGGACCTGATTCTGATTCATTCAGGAATCAGTGGCGACATGTGAGCGTATCGTCTAAAAATATTGCCGGTGGACTGAGGTGCGCCTAGCAACAGAGATTGCATAGAAGCATAGCTACAGTGAACGCGTGTTTCTACGTGCCGCAACGAGGACACGGGACACGAAAAAAAAAAAAAAAAAAGAAAAAGAAACTGCGGAGTGCGGCAATAGACGTCGCGGCTCGCGCGGTATCCTCGCCCACGATTTCGACAATTAACAAAGATTAAGCCTTGTACGTTGTTTTCTCGACTCACGTTCAATGTCTGACGCGGATGTGACATTAAAATATAGAATGAATCTTTTTTTAAGAAAAAATATTTTCGTAATTTGTCAAATCCTTTTAGAAAAGTTGTCATTAAATTATATATATATATATATATATTTAATTTAAATTAGTTAAAACTAACGTTGATTTTCTGCAAAAGTTAATCAATTGTTATTGCAATATTATTACCGATCTATAATATTGTATAATATGGTATTGCATAATATAACATCATGCTGTTGTGAAAATTTCGATCGACATAATAAATTTCAGAAAGATTGCAAAACTCGTCGATTGATATGCAAATGGATTGTGTCCAATTAGGACCGCGCATACTGGAACCGTGGATATTTCGTATGCCGTGTGTCGGGTGTTTTTTTGTATCAACGACTTGCAGTCAGTTTGCGTTAATTTACTTGCAAATTCGACGACGTGAGGTGCAACTTAGCTTGCACTTTATAACGCTCGTACTACCGTCTCGGTCGTCGATGAACGGCGTCCTCGCAAACGATATCGCAACGATATTTTCAAACCCGCTAATTATATTCGCGACGCGATATAAGTCGTAATCGATGCAAGCGGTAGTTTTTATTAGTTCGAAATAGTCGTGTTAAAATATTTCGGAATATTTATAATATAAAATTTCGTAAAATATTTAAAAAGATTCAACAAACAATATAAATATATTGCTTTAAATAATTATAAAAGAAAAATTAAAAATTTTGAAACGTGTATCAACTTCGAACATCCTACATTTTTAGTAAAATATGATTCTGTAATAATTTTAAATAAATTTATAGCCGAACAGTAAATTTTTAAAATTCAAAACAGAGTAAGGCACTTTGTAACGGAAATGTCTTTAACACATCCGCTTGTTGTGCGCATCATTATTATCGCGTTTCTGCGGAGAATGCTATATCGTGTTAATACACACAATTTATAATTTTTTACGGTTATGATACGATGCTGTATATTATTAGATAGATTTTCTGCACACGTCTTGTCAGACGAATTCAAGCGTTACAACCGCAAAATTGGCTTCTGGGCAGCGAAAGGGACGCAAAACGAAATCACTTACCAGCGAAGTTTTGCAAGCACCTGTCTGGGATTGCTGGAAACAAGATCTTGTAGATACTTTCAATCGCACAGTTGCACCTGCCATCATGGTATTTTCTCGTTGGATTCTGTAATCTTGTTGTATCGCGTTCGAAATAGTGTTAAAATATTTTTCGCAATATTTATAATATAAAATTTCGTAAAATATTTAAAAAGATTCAACAAGCAATATAAATATATTGCCTTAAATAATTATAAAAGGAAAATTGAAAATTTTGAAACGTGTATCAACTTCGAACATACTACATTTTTAATAAAAGATGATTCTAATAATTTTAAATAGATTAGCCGAACAGTAAACTTTTGTAGTAAAATCAAGAGAAGGTACATACATCACGTCATTTTTATTATCTAGATTTTTTCGTTGTAAAGATCGAAAAACATTATTTATCTTCTACTCTTAAAATACTATGATAAAGTGAAACAAATTTAGCGAAAACATTTATATGTTCAACCACGACATTTGTGATAAAAAATGTGTAATATCATGAGATTTGACACTTGAGTTTAAAATATTTTTAAACTGCATTCGAAAGATTGATTTATAGCGTTTTGCATGAAATAAAAAAATGATATTAATTTTCAAATGATATTCGAATAAGGATGTGATAAAAATGAAAAGAGAAAATGATAAAAGTTTTTCATATAGATAGATCTTTTTTTAATAAACAATTGGGGTCACAATTCACTTATGTTAGTTAGTTAGTTAGTTTTTTATACTCTCTTATATAGTTACAGCTTTTTTATGTATAATTATACATCATATAATATTGTCGTTACACATATATAAATTTTATATCACGGAGTATCGACTGAAAATGAGGCGTGATTCACTAGGTGGCCTCTTTTGTATTATGTTTTTCTCTTTCATCTTTTATTCTGCAGAATGCACTATGTACACTCTCTCTCTCTCATGCATGTATCACACGCGCACGCACATTCACACACATATACACAAATGTCGGGAATCGTCGACCTTATCCGTGATTTCTAATTTTTATGCTCTACGTGACAATTTTCAAATGTCTGTCACATTGTCGCATATACATACATAATTATTATCTATAATAATCTAATTATTATAGATGAAAGTACGCTAAGTTATGTTTACTGAGATCATACTAATACATCACAGGGTTACATAAACAATAGATTTTTCTCTCTTTGCTATTTTTTTTGTTGAGTTTTCTCCACGACAGGCACCGCGCGTCACGGTTTTCTCATCAGATCTTACGAGATTCCTAAGTTCTGTTTTTTTTTATCTAACGATGACATCGTGATGTATGAAGAACTTTTGATTATTTTTATTTAATTTTGCAATTTCGTCATTAAAAAAAATTATTTTTCGTCATTAAAGACAAAAAATAATTATTTTTCGTCATTAAAGACAAAAAATAATTATTTTTACTACAACTCAAAAATATTATCACGATATTGCCACTTTTTCGAGTGAAAGATTGTCGAAGAGATGTCATACGCCATAGTGACATTGTTGGAATAAATTCACTTGCTTTTCCTTTAACATGTTGCACTAATGCCGAGATCGCGAGGTGCCGCATCTGCCACGAGCATAATAATCAATGATAGTTATTTTTTCAACCGATCCAACTGCTATTTCGTGAATTTTGTGAAACTCTGGATTTTCTGTTCCGCACGAAAGAAAAAAATGAGCATTGCGATCAATTGCGTACGTTTAAATTTGATTTATCGTTGCACTTTTTCGACGCTTCTTTCCCACATGCTCGATGTTACGGGCGGACATTGAAAAAATAGCTTGTAACCACCAGTCGTATTTTTGGGCTATAATCTCAAAAAGGAAATGGCAGGCAGGAAAAAAGTATCAGGAGGAGCAAGATGCGATAGGATATTTGATGAGGATCACGTTAATGGGGCGTTAACGAACAAAAAGTCGTGTATGATAAACAGCTACCATTATAAAACTCTCAATTAATATACAATTAGGTAATACGCTAATATTTTACGCTTTATAAATTCGTTGTCGACGAACGAAATAAACGCTCGCCTCACTATTTGCACTGGACTCCTTCTACACTGTGAAATGCTTATTGTTGGTCTCGATGATGTCTGTCAAAAAAATGCTTCTCTTTGTATAATTACAAAAATGAAGAGTAACTAGCTATTAACCTCTTGTTAGATAATTGAAGGTTGAGTTTAATATAATTTCTTTTTTTAAAAGAAACTCCTTTTTAATATACGTATATTATCTAACGAAAGATTAATACCATTGTAATTAATTTAAAATTCTTGACGGAGACATTACACTGGAATCATCGGGTGTTTTTTTTTTAAGATTAGGTTAAGTCAAATCTCTAAAAAAAACTTTCTACTAGCTTTACGTTTCATCAAACAGATGTTCAAAATCGTAATTTTTATATAAACTGTTATATGTGTCTAAATCAAATGCGGAAAATTATAGCACGGCTGAAAAGCGTTGTTTAAATATAAATAAATTCTCAAGAGAATATCGCGGCGAAACCGAGGAATCCAACTTAACCGAAAGTCACATAAAAATATTAAAAAAAGGTTTATATTTTAATTCGCAACGTAAAAGAAATGAGAATGATATGAAAGAGGAAATTAAACTTTTTTTTTGTCGTAAAAACTGTGACTTTATGACGATTATGTCTCTCGCATCTGCCGGAAACAAATGCGATATGGGATAAAGAAGGGAAATAGGGAGAAAGGAGATGACGAAAATCTTTTCTGTATTTAATAGGTAGAGAAGAAAAAATCACGGGGTGATTTGGCATCGGCTGTACTTTCTTAAAATCGTACAGGAGATCAATGCTTAAACTTGGGTAACAAACTACAGCTAAATCATATATATATTTCTCTTCTTCCTTAAAGCTGGTCGCATTCTGGCCACGGAATCGCAACCATTCTTGCACTTTTCCGTTTTATGTTCTCGCAAGACCACGCCCGACTCGTTTGAGAATTTCAAACAAAGGCCCCGTGAAACTTTATTTAAATTTGGAAATTTGAAGTAGCTTCGATATCGCACATATTTCAAGGACGCGGCATCGAAATTAGCGCGATATTTGCCACATGACTATTTTCCAATAGAATTTTAGTATCTTTACAGCTATAATAAAAGAATTTCATCACCGGGCTTAGAACGCCGCAATCACAAGTACCGAAAATTCCATGGACCAGCTCAAGCATTCCCTTCAATTAGATCCAATGAACGCGCGATATACTCTGTGTTCTATCTCTTAGAATCTAATCAATTCTAATCCCTATGTGAGAATAGCCTATATAAACTTGCATGTATTTCTTAGCTTCTTTCCCTCTCTCTTTTTTCCATAACATGTTTGTGTAACGACATCGTTTAAACATTTTTCTACGAACGTTTCAGAAACAAACAATGAATATATTACATTAATTAATTTGGACACAAATCAAAATATTACTCTATCTACAATCTAATTTTTTTTTATATTCTTCCTTAGTATTACTTACTCTACATTCTAATACAGAAAATGATGTGACACATATTATAAAAAAATAGCGACGAGAGTCATATTCTCGCTTTCTCTCTCTTTCCCCACCAAGCATTCCTTCGTTCTTGCCTATTTCTTATCCTTCTATTTTCCCCTCGCCTCACGTCTTTTCTTGATTGCCGCTGGTCTCATAATTCTCGCGGTATTTCAAAATGCTATTGACAAACGAAGATATACGTGATGGAGAACGGCGTTACCTCCCGTTTCTCGTAAACTTTTTTCTTTTTTTTTTTTCTTTTTATTCATTCGTTTCGCCTGCGCTCATGGCGAATAAAACTACATATGAATGGCACAGCCAACGCGGACCTTTCGCGCCTCCCCCTGCCCAAGAAGAATCCTTGCCCTCTTCTCTTCCTCGTTAATTCCACACGGCGAAGCAGTTTCCTCGCTTCCGGTAACTATCTCACGGTGGGCATGAACGAAGTGGAAAAAGACGGCGACGTTCGAATAAGGAAGCTGAAGGCTTTTAGCTGCGTATCTGACCCGCGTTGCGAGTGATCTTCTCCGGTGGCTCTATCATGCTCTTTGTGGTGCCGTTCAGGCCGCGTTTACGACTCTTCATGTAGTCTGGAACAGACAATGAAAAAAACATGTCTTTACACAGCCGAAGTGACAACAGGCTCGTCGGAGAGACAGTCGAGTAGAATCTAAAGAAAAGCTCGTTAGAAAAACCTTTTAGTAACGTTTAACTTCTAACTTGTATATAAAGTCTGTCATTTCTCCAAAGCGTACAGCAAAACATCTTACAAATTTTATGATAATTTCGTAATTGAGATGACCTTATATAAAAAATACTGATATTATTTATCATTATATAACTCTTTAATATTTATTTATATTCAATATACATTGCATCTGGAGTGAGTCAAAGCGTCTCGGGACGCATCTGGCGAACAGTGTAAGCGATTCGCGGCTTATCTTCGGGCTTCGATTTCTTATAATCGCATGCAATGCCACACTTGACCTTATGCACAATCCGGCTTACTCCCGACTGTATGCATGCGAAATCTTTCCTCTCCGATAACCTTCGAAATATTATATCGCACCGTACTCGCTAATTATATCGCGAGATAAGAGCGCGAGGTCAGGATTTTATATTTGTGTTTATTGCACGCTCGAGCGCAGTTGCAAGTTTCAGACAAATATTTTCGTTACCGCGTTAACGAGCACCGCATTAGGCTCGTGACATCTCGTGTGATTAAAAATGTTTGAGAAACGATCGAGTGCTCTCGAAAAGAGTATAGTAAACACGAAATTTTTGAATATTTAAAATATAAAATTCTATTTTCACTCTATATTTCAATTATACGTAAAAATTCACAGGTCACAACAAATTTTTATTAAAAGTATGACTGTCGAAAAGAAGCTCACTAATCGTGACTCACAAATCGATACGCAGGCGTGATATACCCCAAAGGTACAAAGGCACCCCTTTAGAGTACCATTTGGCGAAGTTTCCACGCGGTGAAAATAGTGCATCTGTTCAATTCTCTGGTCGACTCCTCCGTGCTTTTGTAGGGTCGTCTACCGAGCCACGCGACAAAAATTATGAAAATTGCACGAATATCTACATTTCACATTTTGTTCTAACATTCCCCTTACTTTAAAATTATTTTAAGAGTTATTACTTGAAATAATTCATGGATATTTTACCATAATATATTACAAACATTGCTGACTTCTCTGTTTAAAATTCAGAAATCTGCACATTTTTTTCCAAGTAAGCGAATTAAGAAAGTATTACTGCGAATGTTTCAAGATTCGAAAATTGCCAAATAAGAAACTGTGGACCGATAGGGGATTTCACAATTATTTCTCTGCGCGATGCTTTAAATATCTGCGACGAGATATGCGGGCGCTAATCCTGATTTTAAATGCCGACCCTTTCGCAACGACCCCGTCTGCCGCTCCTGGGGTTCTCGTAGACAGGGGCACGCGATTGCGTGCACAGCTGATGTTTCCCCCTCCCCTCCCCTCTCCCCACGCGTGCAAACACTCGACGTACACGCGTCACTCGGGGATACAAAGGGTCCGAAAGGGAGAGGGGAAAAGCGGGGGTCGCGAGAGAGGAAAAGACATGGGGGTGCATTCGGGGGCCAGCAACCCCATATGGATTTCAACAGCTGACCGCGCGGCTCATTAATAAAGTACGTTAGGAATATCGTTCGGCGCCCCCATGGGCTTGTATCCGTAAAGCAAAATACGTTACGAACTCGTTACTTCCTCGAACGAATTAAGTGGCGCAGATAGGAAACCCAATCGGTTTCCCATCCATTCTACACGTGTGTAAACGCCGGTGTCCCGGAAGTCGCGCACTTCCTTTCAGATAGCGAAAGAAAACTAAGAAAACCGATTATTTAAATAATTGAAGTTTCCGTGCGCAAGAAACGATTAGATTAACTGAACATTGATCTCGGATTAATATCGGATTTTCGATGACGCTTGGAATTAACATTTGATTTTCTATTTAAAAAAATTAATAGAGTTAAAATAAAAAGCACCGATGCACGTCGTGAATGTAACGGTAAAACGGACGACGTTTCGCCGTTGACTTGCAGTGAAGTGGCGCACAAGTTTAGCTTTTTCGCGGTGCAGTAAAAATATCAACAAAGACGTCGCGTGCTGGCGCAACGTGAAATGTGTTTACACGCGTGTACACGCGTGCGCGACACATGGACGGGTCGCATCCAGAAATAGATGCGTCGCGTGGGTGATGTGCATGGCCGAATAATAAATGGAAGAAAAAAGGCTGAACTAGTCTGCGTGAAGTTTTACAACTTCGGCAAGATGGCTGTGTTGCAACACACGCGCGCGATGTACAGAAATGTATTGAAATTTCGTTGAAATATTCAAAAATGCATAACAATTGTAAATGATTTAAAATAGAAACGAGTTTTTTTTATGACGAGAGGCAATGTTTCTTGACACGCTACTTTTGATTTTATGATTTTTCTATGTTCAAATTCAATCTTGTGATTAAAGATTTATTGATTTATTATTTTTTAATTTCATCATACTAACCTATCGTTCTTAAGTCTCTGCTGGTGCCGGTTTTATTTAATTCACAAATAGTTATGAATTATTTACTGCGAGTTATCATAATTTACATGTATTGAAATTTAAGTAATTAATGAAAAAGATTCGATATATTGAATATTGCGGTTTTCATGTGCGATAAGTTAATTGAGACAAATAATTCATACAGTTTCTCGTTTTTCCTTTTCTTTTCTTCATAAGTTGCGGGTCAATGCTTATCTCTTAATCGTCATGTCACTCAATAACGTATTGACTCAATCTCTTCTCATCTTCGCTCACAATCGATTAATCGTTATCAAACAAATTTCCAAAGAACGACGATTAAGTTCGAAATTAGCACTGTAAATCGTTAATGATACATCGCTCACGCGTGAATATATAAAGTACCGTCGGCAAAAACGATAACTTGGCGCGCGAGAATGATAACACGTGTACGAGTGGATCTCGTGTATGCAATTATGATTAGCGATACCATTTCTTCCGTTTCAAGTAGACTTCCTTGCAAATATTATTACAAGTGCATCCCTCGTCATGCTTCTCTCAACGAATAATGAGGTATTTGCTTCGAAAGTAACAGAGAGATTTATCAATTTTTATAATTAGACACTAACCAATTTTAACGGTTTTAAGACGTTTTCTATTAAATTTTGAAGAGATTTCGAAATAAACAGCACTAGGAAGAATTAGATATTGATATGAAGGTAACACAATAATACCACATGAATTTACGGCACCTTCGTCCGTAACTCTTACAAGTTCATCACATTATCTCAAAATCGGACTTGCGCCATTTATTGTTGACGTAACATATAATACAATATTATTTTGATTGTGTCATCGCTCGCGGTGTAGACGGACAGAGCGATCTCGCTTATTCGTGAATAAAAAAGTTTTTATATTATCAAAGCCCCTTTTCAACGTTATCGCGGCACGCGATAATATAGTACCGATAATACACGTTGCGTCTCGTCAGCAGAATTTGATTTTATTGACACTTAAAGCAGGAAAAAATGATCGTGCGCTCTACATGCAAAACGATGAACGTTATATAGACTTACGAGTAAATATTCGATAAAGCAGTGAAAAGAAAATTAAAAAAAAAAAAACTGATCAAATAAATACTTCGCGTCGTTCTGCTCACTGCTATGCTACATGTTGTGAGATATAAAACACTACATGAATATGGAATATCGTGAAATAAATAAAAAATATTTTCTGACAAGAATCGCTTTCTTTTTTTTTTTTTTTTTTTTTTTTAATCATAAATGCCGACTGAAATTCTCAGCGTACGCAAAAGTGTTTCCCACAGAAAGTAATGCTGATAACATTTCGAAATACACGCGCAACGAAATGCAAACGTAACTCGTTATTATCAGGTGCTGACGTAATTATGCGCGAATTGCGACGACCTTCCAATGAACGAATTGGATTGACCTAGGCACAACGCACTTCCTACATGAATACATCGAACAAATTAATCACAATAAATTCTAGTTAGAGAAGCTATCTTTCGGTACGGAAACGGAATTCGTACAATCGTATCTATGTTCGTGTGTAAAATGATAACTCCATGCCGGAAGCGAATACGCAACGATTCGCATCTTTCCATAGGGATAAAAAGTCTGTCTCGTAGAAATTTCCGACTATAAGATAATTTAATTAACTGATGCCCATTTCTACCAATTTAGATTTATTTTAATTTCGATTTAACTTTTATCTTTTTTTCTGACTGTAGAGAATTAGAAAACGATGAAGAGTAAATATAGTAGTTATACCGGGATTACATTTAATTTACATTGATAGAAATGAGCATAGAATAACTTTTTACACAATCATATCTCCATTGTCCCAGTTAATCATGTTTTAAGATTAGAAATTCAAAGTTACGTCCAGCTATCTTTAGAGTAATTCATGGATATTTCTGAATTAAGAAAATGAATTTCTTCGAACGTAATTCTAACAAGATCATTGAACCAGTGATCAAGGCAAATAATAACTGGTAATGACGAAAACACGAAAACAATTATTTTCCTCTCGATTGCCTTACGTCCCTCATGCATAATACAATGCAGGTGTAAACAAATTTTATCACGCCCGAAGCTTCTGTCTTCGGAAGATATGCGACAGATATAGGCGATGAGTTACGAGCAGATTAGAGGCGTGAAAAACGGAGATACGTCGATCGAACGAAACGTGTCGCGTTTCGGCGTAAACCACGACACGCGTGATCTCATCGGGATAATCTGTAGCCGCCGATCAAGCGAACGTCGTCGTTGATAACGACAGCGTTTAATTTTATACGCGAGCGTATGTGCGGGACCAAACAATTTCGAAAATAAACATCGCCCGCTTGCATTTATATAATCGGAGATCCAAAGGCGAACGTACGCCTCGAGCCTTTAGAGTTTTTTTTTATCAGTTATTTCGTGCGATATCTAGAGCTTTTTTTCGTTAAAGAGCACTCCACACATTGAAATCAAAACGCTAAGTAGAATTGTGGTGGTGTATATGCTGTTGTATAAAGTCGGAAGTTGAATGAAAACATGTGCGATGTTCGTCGCAAAACATTAGAGAGTACCGAAATCAGTGAGCCTCTACGTATCGATTTGTTTAGCTACATAGAATGGGTGTATAAATGACTTACCGGTGATACTGGATTGTTTCCTCGCGGTAGAAGGTAGTACGGGAGTGGTCGGCTCTATCGCGCACCTCTTCCTCTTGGTGTCCGTTTCCAGGAGTTGATTGGGCATCGTGACCTCGCCAATCTCGGGCACTCGGGGCTCCTGCGGCGGCGTCCTCTCGGCCGTCGGCGTGACGACGGTCTCCATCTGCTCGATGATCCTCGTGCTCGGCATCGTTGTCACCGTGGTCATTATCGTTGTCAACGGCGTCGTCGTTGCCGTCGACGATGTTGGCGACGTGGTTGGCGCTGTCGTGGCGACAGCGGCCGCGGCGGTCGACGCGTCGTCGAAGCGCAATTTGCGCGGCGTACCGGGCGCGTGTTTCCTCAGGTAGGGCATGCCGCGCAAGGCGTAGGGCTCGGGCACGACGTCGTGCTCCGTCAGCGGTTCCCACTCGTAACGCGAGTTCGATTGAAGTGGTGCGCCCACTTGGAAGTTGAAGCCCCATCGATCGGCATCGAGCTGCGATTGAGCCTGCAATTCGCGCTCGGCGAGGTCCCGAGCCGCCGCGTGGTCCACCGGTCCGAAGAGATCGCGCCGCACGCGGGCGAGGGCGGCCCTGCTCGGCGCCGCGCGTCCACCACCGGCACCACCGCCACCGCCGCTGCTTAGGTTCCTGCTTATTTCCGTCATCATCGCCGGGTTCAGCACTCGTGCGCTCATATTTCGTCTCGTCGCGCTCTATCGCCGCCGCGCTCCACTACGGCAAACGCTCACCCGCGCGCGCGCGCTCGTTCCCACACGTGGAGACAAATAACACAAAAGTTCTGAGCGCGAAAAGTCGTGTAAGATAAGTCGAGCACACGCGGCGCAGTCTCTTCCTATTCTTTCTCCGTCCGTTGCTTCTTCACCGTCTCTGTGGCCCCTTTCACTACACTATCGAGAAGTTGTGACACGCGCTACGCGAGATAAGAGAGATCGCCTCTTCTAGCATTGGCCGTGACGCAGGGATGATGATGACTCCTTCCAGGAATCGCGTCCCCGCTGCCGCCGCCAGCGGCCGTAGTCGTGGGACGTTGAAATAATCGCGGCTACGCGGACAGGAACGTGGCAACGCTGCGATCCGTGGCGCGACCCACCGAATTTCGAATGGCCGCACTGCTGCCGAGCGTTGACCAAAGAGCACCGCTTCCTCGCGCTCTCAGATCCGCGTGCTCGTCGATGCGATGGTCGCGCGATGTGCCGCAACGGTGACGCTTGCCCCGACGGGCAACGACGACGATGATGCTCGGCTCGATTTCCGTCCGAGGAAGCGTGGATCATAGGGCGACGCGTGCACGGCGAACAGCAGCCGCGCTTGGCAACACAGGGGGGGGGAGGCACCACACGGTTACTATGTGCCAGACAGAGATAGCGGCGGCGAAAACAAACTCCGCCTCGCGCGCGCGATCCCGCTGCACCGCACCCGAGCTGTCCTGTCAAGGCCAACCCGTGCAGGAACTCCTCTCCCGATCGACGCAATATCGATATCCGCACGATTCACTCTTCTCCGCAAGTTCGCGACACGCAAGAGAAGATTCCTTCCTTCGGCGTAGCCTCCGGGACGGGGGTATAGATCCGGCAACGTCGCACGGCCCGCACTTGCGCGTGAGTATCCGTGAGCGAGAACGGCCGAGAGAGCGTGTTGCGACGTATCCCGCGCGAATTTCGTGGTCCACCGTGGCGATCGTCCGTGACGCGAGCCAATCTGTCTCTGGAGTCTCCTCTTTCTCTGTCTCTCTCACTCGTCGTTTCTTCGCGTCTCGCACTCACACACGACGAGGCACTGCCACGCACAGCCGAGACGCGGTAACGCAGTTCGTGGTCTCGGCGCGAGAAAATTCCATAGAAAAAAAAAACGCCGCTATTGCACACGGCCCGCAGCAATATGCTGATCCCGCGGTGGGGGAGTCCACCACCGAGTATCGCCTCTGACAACGCGTAAATAAGCACGAAGAGTTACGACGGCCGTCGATTTCCCGCCAAACAAACGCGACTGTCAAGGCACGCGCGTGGGCCCACCGGGGGCTCGGAAGGACGGTGCGAGCACGATTGCGCAGTTACGTGACGTCGGGCACGGTGATACGTGCGATGATACTGCGACTCGCGGAGCTGCGCAGAGACGCGTTGTTAACACGAAAAGCGCTCTCTAGCGACTGACGGACGCTTCTTTCATTGCGGGCAAGCGAGCCTCCCGTGAGATCGGTGCTCGTCGGCATTCTCCGCCGCAGCTCGGCTCGGCGATTCTCCCTCTTCTTCCTCTTCGCCTTCGCCCACCGTGAGGCTAATCACGCGGCGAGCGGAGGAACGAAATAACCGCCGTTCGCAACGTATAGTCCCCTCGACCTGACTTGCGAGTGACGGTCAGCCTCGTGCACGGAAAGATTGTACAGTTATCGGGGAGGACGCACCTTCCCTACCTATGGGGACAACACGGTCGTGCGGAATGCCAATCGTCGATCTCTCTGTGGTCGTGCTCCAATATTCCAGGTTTCAATCTTCGGGGAGGGACGAAATTTGAAGGTACACTCGCTGAGTCTGCATAGATTCTTAATGGGATTACTTGAGAGACAATATTATTAAAAACACTGATGAAAAACTGGCTCTCATAATTTCTTTCGAAAAAAAAAAAAAAAAAATGGAAATTTGTTTTCCTATGAAATTATCTCACGAATTTCTCGAACTAATTATTTTAACATTTTACAATAGAGATTAACGCGTCTCGGTGATGTAGTATATTTGTCTCTTACGAGACTTTCATTCACGTTTTTCGCTTTATGATATGATTAATGAAGCCACGTACAGGATCGGGATCGAGAACGTCGTCGGACGTGTCAAATTAATTTAATTGTGGCCTTAATTCGTCGTTTTAATTGTCCTTCACGCACTCGTGCTCACAGCGGCGAAAAGAGAACGACGGCGTGCCCCTTCTAACAGAGAGAGGGGTACGGTGGGAAACGAGAAATAAATAGGTCCAGTCTTCAAAACAACGCGACGCGCAATCTTATCGCTTGCGCATATTCGGTAGATTTTCATGTTTGCACGCCGGCAACGCGTTACGCACGGTGAACTTATTTGCATACCACTCGGATTATCGCCGACGTTTAATACAGGCGTGATAGACTCGCCACGCGCGGTCTGAAGGTTACATTGAGCTATACTGTAAAGAAACGAGAGATGTTATCGTAATTTGTTAAATCCCTTTTCGCGACGGGCAGGGAGTGCGTGAAGAAAGTACTTATTCATGTCCATGTAAGGAAAGTTTATCGAAAAAATACTATCATTTATAATTATTCGAACGACAGATATTTTATCCTATACTTTATTTCGATTTTAAAAGCTAATTGTAAGTGTCCTACTATGCAGTCAACATAGATAATAATTTATTAGAATAATTGTAATCGTACGTATTCTAAATTTAAATTATTGAACGATACTTTGTATATTAGAAGGCACATATCAATTTGATACGTCATATTTATTTAATCTGTTAAACGTTGCTGATTCTATTATTAACGTATTCACTGTCAGTCGCAAAGTCAGTCTCGGTCGATTTAATAATTCGATGTTGGCGACGACTATGGTCTAAAATGTAACTTGATCATTTAAAAATCTGATATTCCCAATAGTAAAAATATCGAATGCTTTTTTGGAGTAGTCGGAATCACGGAAACAGATTTAGAGGAGAAAATTCGAAAATTTTAATTCATAAAATCTTGCGCAAAGATTCCCTTTCGATCTTTCGACGCGACATTCGATTCTGTGGATGAAACTGCAGCGCTTCGTGACGATCGTGCGCATGTTACAGTGCCGGGTGCGATGACATAAAATCAACGGGACGAATCGAGACTTTTCATTGATAATTGTCAATTTACTCCGTTGTGCTCGTCTCGCGCGCGGCACGCGAGGGGACACACCTACGGGAAACAGTTCCTCGCGCGCGCTTACCGACCCTCGGCTCAACTCACAACGAGCGAAGCGTAGATAAATGATCCCAGAGTCCAATTGGAGAGAGAGTTTGCCACGCGGCATTCAATCTCGTGATGTGTGTGTATGTACGTGTATACGCATGTGTGTGTGCGGCTTGGTTGCATGCCGCCATAACGTGGCGCGAGTATTTCGAATATTCGAACGTGAGCCGAGGATACTGTCATTTTCCCACACGGCATTCCCAATTGACGTTTAAACATAGCGGAAAGTAAATCGTTTTCAAGAATCTATAATACACAAAATAATCTTACATTTTAGATGAATAAAAATAACGCAAGTTACTCCTTTTGTGTATTATTGATTGTCTTTAATTAAAATTATGTTATTAGTAAGATTCTGAATAAGAGAGACCACAACGCGTAAGAGGAAGCCCGCGTCGGTGCACCGCGCTGTGCTCTGGGGAAACAAAATCCCACGCAGCATCCAGGAAGTGGTGAGGGGTGACACCGGATGTATTTCAATGAGGGGAGACGGGTGAACGGGTTCGCGTAAAACAATTCTTTCTGGCGTTTTGCAGAGAGACCACCGTCTCTCATTCATTGTCCACCGCAGGAGTGCATTTCATCGAGGTGTCTGGTTGCACAGGTCGCGCTTTGTAACCCACAATAAAGCGAAAGCTCTACTATCTACTTCCTGCGATATTTGTTGCCAAATAAGTTGACAGGTTCCTCGACGAATCTCGTAATAATCGGACGAGATTTATGTTATTCAAATTATTATGTGAAATACAATAATTAATTGAGCAACTAATTTTTTCGTCACGTTTTGCTTATGCATTATAGCTATCGTGTCTTTCTTATTTCCTGTAAATTTAAAAAATGTTAGACGTAACGTTCTACCAGAGATTCTTTCAATTGTTGACGCAATATTATTTAATTTTGCCATTATGTTATTGGATACAGCCCGCGTTGACAAGGCGTTGTTGCGTAGATGATTACTGACGATTAATAAGAGAAATAAACATTTCTTGCCTCGTGGGTATAAATGCATAGATATCGCGTATGTGTTTGTAAATCTGTTAGATTATTTTTAAAGGAAGCTAGTGTTTATTCGTTGGCGAGGCGCGCGACCGGAAGACGCTTGGCCGCATCTGCATCGCGTGTTTACCACCGAAAGAGTCACCTGTTTCATCATTTCGCTATCAAAGCCGGGGCTCTCTTACTTGAGGCCGCCGCCAACCGCGTTATCTCGTCGCATGCTAACGGGGACAAAACTGCAGCCGCGATAAATCACTTTTATCGAGCTCAAGGTGGTGGATCGAGATCGAGGTTGAAAACGGGTGTACTGTTCCGCAGATGCGAGGAGCCTACTTTCCTCCGAGACACGTCTCGGTGTCTGGCGGGTCGAATGTTTCACGCCAGGCAGCAATATAAATCGGTCAGTTTACATACGTCAGGTGGGAATGTTAAAACTATTTAGGAATTGGTTAAGCTCACAATCAATCAAATTTTACGTTCGCAGAAACGTCCGTTATTTTTTGACGATTGCGCAAAAATCCTTACAATGGAAATACATATACTTACATATAAATATTTAAAAATTTCTTGCTTTGAGCGTCTGTGATTGCAATCCCGTTCATGGAAGGTTCTTTATCGGAAGGATTTTCAATGCTCGGTCAGAATAATATGTGCGGTATACGTTGTGCGGCAATATCCTTTGTCGTCGTCGCGATTGTGCCCACTTCCGTGGGAATTCGCGGAACGGAAGTGCAATTTCTGGCCGGTACCGTCTCGTGGCCAGCTTCCATGGTGGAGCAGCGCGCGAAGAAAAAACGATCTTTAAAGAAACGATGCCAGGTGCAACGCGCTCTTCTCTCTCTCTCTCTCTCTCTCTCTCTCTCTCTCTCTCTCTCTCTCTCGCCTTCTCACAAGTACTTTTGGGATTATTTCGACGAAATTGTGGTATCACGGCTCTCGTACAGCGTTTCACGAAGAAAATAAAAGTTACACAATTGTAAGATACTGCTGCATTTAATTTGTGATCGATAAAATTATACATCGCTGAAGTGAGAAGGGAGGGACAAAGGAAACAAATACTCGATTATTTTATAACTTTGCAGAAATATATTGTGCATATTTGATATATAAATTTACCTTTCTTTTTTAAGAAATTAGTACAAAGTTTTGATTAAGTAATAATAATGTATTGCACGTACATTTTCATAGATATTAAATTGAGTAACATTATATATATTATAATATAAAACATTATCGTATTGTAAAACTAATGCAAATAATATTAGGGAGATCAAATTATATACGATTTAGGTTAACTATTTTTGAATAAGTTAATTAAAATTAAAAACTTAACTTTGGGTTTTTATCTGGAGACATTTGAAATCATGCCTCTTTGACTAGAAATTTAAAAGTCAATCAATTCAAATGAATCAATGAACCCAGCCAGTTTATATAAGTTCCAGATTACAAATGTCATAAAGATTATTAATTTGCTCATAAGACTTTGGACTCACTATTCTCCCTATTCGTATAAAAAGCTGGTTCAAACTTTTTAAGAGAAATTTATAAATAATTTTCATCATTAATAAAAAAATCATTTACGCGCTCGCACGCGTATTAGGTACATAAAATTTAGTATAGTTAAAAATGTACGTAGTCTCTTTCATGCTGAAAGAACTATACTATTGTTAGTAAATTTTACTTATTGATATCACAATTTAATTTTTTCACTGCTTTGATTTTTTCACCCGTCAATTTGGTACCAATCTTCTACATTGTTTGTTGTTTCCTCCGCGCATTCTTCTTGGAAAATTATGCCTTATTCATCTTCATAGAGTCAAATGTTTAATTTTCTTATTGGTTAAGTCCATTCGAGAAAGAAGAAATTGGTTCACTTTCCGAGGGTAAAATCAAAGTTTCATTTCTTTACTGGTTCTCCTCGCTCAAAATCGAAGTCATATCTCTCCTTGGCCTACGCATCAATAAGTATTTCAGTTTTATATCATGTCAATAGTTTAATTTGTAATATTTTGCGTAGAATTATTTTATTGAGATATAATTATACGGAAAATAATGATTTTGCTGAAAGAAAATTTTACTGGCTAGATCTGAAAATTTTGTTTGATCATAAAAAAAACTGTTATTGCAAAATTATAGAAACGCAAAATGATTGCTAGAATATCGAAATTTTTTAGTGGTCCAATAAAATTTATTTTTAAATCTGTATCGAGCAAAATTTTAGATCTTTCAACAAAATCATTCTTTCTGTGTATACGTATTATAATCGTGAGGAGAAATAATGTTAACAATCGCTCGAATTTAAGAAACTTATTAAAGAAAAATGATTTGTTTCTTACCTCTTCCATTTTTTTTCGTTTTTCTTCTAAATAAAAATTTTTATTATTCTCGCTTTCCTGTTTATCGTTGTTATCACTTGGAAAGAGTCGCCTACTAATTTTTTCAATCTTCCTGCGTTTTTGTTGCTCGTCTTCGTTATTGTCTTCATGGTTTGACAAATTAGCTTGCCTACGAATGAGTTTAATATTGTCAATCCCCCTGGGTCTTTCTTGCTCGCTGTTGTAATCATCATCTTGAAAATGTCTTCTATTCTCATGATAGTCTCGAATATTGATGTCAATCTCGTTTTCCATCACTAGCAGGTTCTAAAAAAAAAAATTATATTTTTTAGTAACGATTTTTCTATCCCTTTTATAATTTATTCGTATATTTGTGTTTACATATCGTGCTATTGAAGAATTCAAGTTTAATTCTTTTATCAATTTTTTTATAGTTTTAATTACATCGATAATTTATTTGAAAATTATTTTGCGTCCTATACGGATTCGTATTTGTTTCTGGAAGAAGTTAGATTGATGAGTGCGTGACAACTACTGACAAAGATTTCTACCGTTAGAAGTACAAGGATATATGTTTGTAAATAAGGATAAAACGTTGCGATTTTTTAAATAAAAAAGAATTTTAATATTATATTTTGATGTGTATTTCGATATACAGTGCATTCCTGTTCGATTAGTCGATACTTTCAAGTGAATTAACATGTGCAATCGTGCCGCGGATGAGAGATCAATAATATTTTTCGACGTAAAGCTATCGAACTACCAGGAAAGTTCTTCGCAGCGCGACAACAGTGCTCGGTATATATTAATCGTCTAGGCGATACGCAGCTCGTCACAAGTATGACACTTCACGTTTTGTAAACAATGATGATATGCATCGGAGAATCGAGACTTTGCATGCGCGAGAGAGAAAAGAGACCTGCCGGGCATTGTGTCGTACAGTGTGCCGTTGAACGGATGTATCGGAATGCATTACATTTCCGGCACACATCAATTGTGAATACATGCAGAACGGTATTTATTATTTTCATGCCCACTCTTGGAAGTCCTTTGATATCGCTGTCCGAGTTCTAGATATTTCGCATCGTGAACGTTTTAAGGCTGTAAAATTCAATGCGCGTGTTATGATATTTTGCAAACAACACGGCTTATTATCAAATATTAAAAAAAAAAATAGAAATTACACGCTACAAGTTTATGGCAAGCTGCATAAATAATTCTATATTTTTACAAATGCAGTAAACTACTTAAAAATTCTCCGTTTATTATTTGTGCAATAATCAAGAGTCCATGCATTGCAGAAATATCCATAACATACCGAAGATTACGCGCTAGCATCCCAATTTATGTTTACGTCGTTAGAGATAATCCCGCGGAGGTTCTGCTTTAAATGGGCACGCGTTCTTAATAATCGTCGTAGGGAACATTTCTTAAGGCCAGAAAGAACCACATAGACTGCAGAAGTTACGCCAGAGTCGGAGATAAGATTTCTTTATGCCTTTACGCTCTTAATGATCGCGAATGGAACATCGCGCTTTTTACGCGCGTTCGTTAACGCAAAACTGGTTTGATTCGCCCGGCTTTCGCCGAGGGCATACTAACGAATGAATTCCACGTTATTCGCGTAATTACTATGATGTACTGGTGGAGCAGGTGATACAGCCGAGTGCATTAACTTCGCAGGTTACGCGCGGACGTGTGTCAGGATGACGCAGTATACGGTGGCATCTCTCGCCGCAGTGGCCGGGTTAACGCACTCGGGTGTACGTGCTTTCCTTTCCCGGCCACATTTCGGTCGTATACTCACGCGTGCACGCGGGATCGGGAAGATAAATGGGTGCCTGGTGCGCGGTTCGCGAATCGAGGTGCGAGATGACTCGCGCGGGAGGGAAGGAGAGAGAGAGAGAGAGAGAGATGAAGAAAAACGAACGCGCATTGTTGAAATCACTCGAATGCGGCGTCATGCGGGGTCGGCGATCATCCGCGATTCGGCATAATATATCGTCGCCCCATATTAACTCGAAAATCGCAATCGTCCGAGAACGATATATATATATATATTTTTTTTTTCTCGCTTTCTTGAAACTGCCGCGTACTTTTTTACAACGATCCAATTATTGCGGATTTATCGCGGGCATAAATTCCGCGCGCCGTTTATTTGGTCGTCTAAAGTCTGACAACGGCGATTTATCTGGAGCACTGTGTATATGCCTGCCCAGCAGACTTAACTGCCGATATTGAAAGTACTCTCGTTTGAAATGATATCTCATGCAGCTTCAGCAAAACGTGAAATTACTTACTTGATTTGACGTACCCTTAGCCTTTCCCAAATTAGAGAACGTAAGAAAATCACTGTTATGTTCTTACATTTCAACTTGAAAGTTTTGTATCCTAAAGGACTCGCGTATTGCGCCTATACGTCTGTAGCCTATCAAACAAGTAATACGGGTTTACACTTTACACAAAGATACACGCCTTTCCCTGACCCACTTATTCGTTCGACTATTCCACACAAATATCGGATTGCACATTCGGTTCCGTCACATTCTCTTTGTCACATGAGAATTCGTCGCGAGACACACAAACGTTAAATATGTGCTCAATTGTCAGATTATGGACTCGTGGAGTTCATAGGTAACGAGAAAATAAAGTACATATTCCGTACACGATAGACAACTAGAGGTTATAAACATTTACGGTGCAGTTTTATCGTGGCTTGCAAATTCTATTTTCTACACTTTTAGTTCTATTCTTCGCACGTCATGCTAATCTTAAGGTCGATCTTGCGACGAAATTACCTCAGGGACAGCTAGGTTTCGAGTTACGTTGACAGCAGGTCGTATATCAGTCGAAAGCAGGAAAGAAAAGTATGCAGAAGTGATTAAGGAAACGAACGAAATTCTGGCGGTCAGAATGGTGGCACGGTTATTGCGCCGCGATACCTACGAGAAACCTAGCCTGATCTGTTTCTGACAGTTCGTCTACTTACTTCCTCAGAGCCTCCTCTGAAGGAGGACTTCCTCCTTTATTCGCAGATGTGTATGTGAAACGATGATAACGCGTATCGACTTTATCTGGTATTAATTACACGAGCGAGCGCACTCGATTGAGATCGTTTTTGTTACACTCCGTAATTGCACGCGCTCATTTATCTCGTCTTCGCACGTGCGTCTTGTCGGTTTAACGTCGGCCTCGACCGGTCGCAAAGTCGCATTTACAACGGATCGATAAGCATGTTTTCGTCGGGGCTGTGGAACCTTGATGGGGTGGTTTTGTGCGCGCGCATATACCCTACGACGAGAGTTCGATATGCGACTATCGATGGCACGCTACAACTTCGATTTGTTTAAACTAAACTTGGACAGGCTCAATGCTTGAGTGATCGATCTTTTCCAAATAATCAAAAATAATTATGTTATTATATCAATGGGATGATAAATTGATTGAATATATTATTTCGTGAAACAGAAATCTAAAGAAATGCACGACTTTTGACCTGCTTCTCGAATTTATTCTAGAAGAATCAACTTTTAACGCATGTTTATTTGAACGTTAATCTATCTTTTAACGATTCTGAAATTTAAAGAAATATTCTATCAATTCTTAAATACACAGAGTGTAATTTGAAAACATTTCCATGAGAAATAATAAAATTTGCAGCTGTTTTTTACTCTCCGTGAATCACTTGAAACTAATTTACCTCACGATTGCTGATACCAAAATGTCTTGAGATGTAAATGGCACTTTTTTACCGAACGGTATTTATAGATCGGCACGACGAAAATTGAAAGAACGCACGAAATTGACGCGTCGCGCACGGAGAAACGTTGTTGCGGCTGCAAAACTTGGAATGCAACTAAGTAAGACTAGCCTGTTGCCGCATCTCTAGCTAGCCGTACTGAGACACTGACCTAGACTCGCTTATTACGCCCGGTTCAAGGTATAGAGGACCCAGCTAAGAATGCGTGGGCACGAGACCCCCCTCCTTGCTCAATCGCGCATGCGAGGAAAAGATGAATGTACCCCTCGCTCTTTTCTTTCTCTTTCTATCAGCTCACGTTTCCAATAAAAGGAGCCGCTATGCCTCTTCTTTGTCCGTATTACGCTAGCGATTGGCGTCTCTGCGTTTACATTGGCATTTGTGTCTCTAATTAGAAAGGAGCTGAGGGCCAGCAGCTCCTTTCTGATTAGTCCAGAGACGCAAACGCCAACGTAGACGCAATTGCTAATTAGTGTGATATGGACATTAGATCTTGCACGGACGAAAATGCGTAGAATCCGAGCAAAATGCGGAACGCATGTCCGAGAAAACCCGTTAGTCGTACGTTTTTTATTACAGTGATTTATCCTGTAAAGCGAATTTCGGCCGATGCCGATGGACAAACATTCCGGCAAGTGAAATGTTCGTCAAGATGATGAATGATATTTTTCCGGTGGAGAATAGTCGTCGGACATTCTGCGAACCTTATTGCGTTGGCAAGATGAGGGCAAAAGGAAGAAGACGAAGATTAATAAGAAGGTCATGTTGGGACTACCTTCGAGAAGCTCGATGAAAATTATCGCGTCACTCTGGGGGCACGTATTTCCGTTCCAGACTAATGTCTGCTTTCGTGGAACCGTCTGGGCGGGATGGTACTTAATTGACGATGCACGTCCGATAATTCGCGCGATGCCATAATGATAACGCTTTAATTAACAGCCGTTGCACAGTTATCGCAGCGTTAAAGCCCAAGGTCGCAGTTTTCCGAGCACCGGACGGATCGCATTTACGATCGGCGAGAGTAACGTGACCGCCGTTCGTATATTGACTCGTAGAATACCGATAGGCGTACGTATACGTCGATTGAACGTAACACGAAGATTATTCTGACTCATTGTATCTTATTATTGGAACGCAGCTCGTCACGATAAGACGCGAAATTGAGAGAAATATGCGTTGCTTCAGTGACAGTTGATCTTTCCGCAGTTTTAACCTTTCCGCAATTCAATCAAAACAAAATGAGAAATTGTCAATTAAGAGCTGATATACCACGCATATGTTGTATATTCGTTGTGTATTAACCCTAGAAAGATAAGCATATTTAGAAACTCAATAAAGATAAATATACGTCTATTCGACGTATGAAATCTAAATTGTATTTTTTAAATCGTTTTCGTAAATACATTTTATGTTTTATTATTTCTTTATCTTGAAGCTATATATTTACAAATAAAATGAAATTTAATATTATGCAAATATATTTCTATTAAATATATTTAAAAAATTTACATTTTTTAAAATATTTTAAGAATCAACATAAAGAATCTTCGACGCCGCATATACCTAATTGACGTAGCTTATGGTTCTTTTAAATTAGTTGAGAATATTTTGAAGTTTTGCAAATTCTTTTACTTTTACCGTTTACAGTTTTTAAAATCATAAGATTACACTCGTGATCAGAAACAATTTACAAAACAAAAGGTAATAACCAATAAGCGGCTCGTCGAGAGACATAGTTCAAAAACATTCTCCTTCCTTGGGCACGGCACTTCCTATGGCTGGCGACGCCCTCTTTAACGGCTCGCAACCGCCGTTTCGTACCGTTTCGAAGGCGGTGTTCCGTATCGTGATTGCCGGTCGAGGAAACACGAGCAACTAAATCGCGCATAAGTTTTTCTCTCGAGTAAACCCAGCACCTGAACGTCGAACGTCGGAACGTTTTTCATGCCCGAGATGCTCGTCTCCGCGTGTTCGACTCGCTCTTTGACTTCGGAGCCTCGACCCGTCAACGAGTGTTTTTCCCCTCGTCGCCGATCGAACGAACCGCGACAAAGCGCACGGTCGTTTCGAGGGCGTGATTCGATTATCTCTTGTTTTATGGCAAAAATCCACGATTTTTCGCCACGGGCAAAAATACTCACTGTGAAATTATCGTTGAACTTTGTTTGTCCGCTGACTCGCAGTCTTTTCTCTTCTCTTTAACGCGCGGAGCATTCCCACGACTTAAGTTTACGTTATTGCCGGCGATCTGCCGATGCCAGCCTCACCTTTTTTTCTCTTTCTCGACGTGTTCAAGAAAAAGTCACATATGAAAAATTACGTAACCTCATATAGAGTTGAATAAAAAATACGAAGTCAGCTTCAATCGACGCACTGTTAGTTATCTGACTTCACGCGCGATTTTGATGACCAATTTAAGCCGAGTGTGCGATATATGTTTACGCACGTTTCCGTTGTACGACGATGCATTTATTGTTTCTCATTTCCTCGCGATATTTTCAAGCTTTTGCATGATGATCTCATAAACACGCATTCGATTGCGTAAGTGGAATGTATGCGACGATCGACAACAGTGGAGTAATAATAATATTTACTATCACTTTAGCCATTACCATTATTGATTATTGCAAAATGGTTATGACTGTACATTACATAAATGTCATAAATGGTACGTGGCAAATGTCTCTTAGCATTGAATAAAGTGATCCTATTTTTCATATAAAATTTTACAAAAACGTGATCATGTTAGATTAGCACAAAGGTGATTTCTCTTTCTCTTAAGATTTATCTCGAATAAAGTTAAAAACTACTTACAATTAGTAGATCAGAATGCAAAAAAGATCAACTAGGAAAAGGAGTCATTAATGTGAGCAGGATTCGAAAAATCAGACTTGCGCGGCCGCGCGTATAATGCGGTATCTTCGTTCCGCGCCTCGACACCTGTGTGAAAGAAGATTCCCCCGAGTAAATTCGCTCACCCCTGGCCGTCGAGGAGTAGTATATGAAAAAGTGGAGAGGGTTCGACACTGGTGTGCCTATGCCCAGTAATTATTCCGCTTGAGTTACCGAGCAAACGGACGGGGCCCTTAGCGCCCCGAAGAAATTTCTGCTGGACGGTCCCCTCGTGCGGCGAAGAAGTCATTTGCATCTTTTACCACGAGAAAAGATTTCCGATTCCATTCGAGATAGAGTTAATTCTAAGCTAGCGTGGCGAAACTTTGCGTGATCCGAAACACCGCCTGGCAACTATTCGTTTGTTTCGCGAGCTAAATGGGAGATGGAGGATTTTTGTACATTATCTCTCCACAATACAATCGCATTGTGCGCTACACAAACCAGACGATGTTAGAACAAATTTTAATGCATTTTTTTTATATCTTCCTATTAGGAATCAACAGTTCTTAGAATGTCGTGTTCTTAAGAAAAATGTTTGTTTGTTTTCTCTAATGCCGTAAGAGCTATTAACTGTGACTTATTTAGCTTAATGTCGTGTGTGACTAACATGAATATTTTTAGCT